GAGGATCATTGGAGGTAGAGAAGCAGGCAAGAGGAGAGGCATAAGTGACATGAAATAGTTGTTTTTGATCTTAGTCTGGAATAGATAGGGAGAGGACAACAGCGAGTGGTGCAAAGAATATGTTTTTGATAATCATGAATTAGAATTACTACCCCAGCTCCTGGCATGCCTAGGGTGTAAGTCCAGTGATATGTTGGAGCTGGCCCTTACTGGTTCATGACTGTTAAATTTTCAGGAACTTTGTGAGCTGATCTTTAAACACAGTTATTTTTAAACAAAGTTATTATCAACATTAAATTATTTTAATTTGAAGTTGAATAAATTATTTTTAAAACAAAAATAGCAAGTACTCAAAACTCATCATCACTTCCTAATTATTTGACATTTTGCAATTGTAAGAGGTTTCTTTTTCTATTTCATAGAAGTATATGAAGTCCATCAACCATATACTCGCACCTTAATTTCCTTCATTCACCCTCCCCCTTCCCACTAGTACTCCCCAGACACTCACTGTACCTATTTTACAGTCCAGTCTCTCATTATTAATATTTAACCAACTTCGTGTTTATTGATGCAGTGTTGGTAGCTTGAAATCAATCATTATGGAAATATTTGCACCATGGAAATAGGCAAATGCTGCAAAACCGGGTGTGTGTGTATGTGTATTTTTTCCCCCAAGGAGCCAGTTGTTAACCATTCACCAGCACATTACAAAGTGTTATGATTATATGCCAAACAGTGGGAAGGATGGGTATGATTTTTGTGCCAGTGAAATGCACTCTGTTTTCTTAGGTTGCAAACCTTTAGACTGTGCTGCCTAACTGGACTGTGATTAGAAAGTAATACTAAGCCTCATACTTTTCAGGTGCCTTCCCCTGTGTTTCCATTGCATGTATACCTACAGCATCTCAGTGAATTATGGTTATTTATGTTTCTGTTTATCTCTTTATCCCCAGTGCCTAGTATTCAACTAGTCCTTAATTAGTTGTTGAATAAATAACGTGTTATGTCCCTCCCACAGAATCTAAACACATTGGTTATCTTTGCACTTCTCCTTAAATATCAGGAACATACAAGTTTTTTCACAAAGAAAATGTAAACCCCCCTCCTTTTCCTTTTCATTCTCTTTCCTTCCTCTTGCTCTCAGCCTAAAGCCTGAACCTTTCTAGATAATTGTGACTTTTTTTTTTGTATGTGGCTACATAATTCAGTCTAGCAGATTTCTGCTTTTTTATAAATGATTGCTGTTATGCAGGGCTCCATCAAGATAATTTGGAGACTTAGTTAGAATTATCCTAATGTAATATGTCAAGTTTAAAAAGCTATTTGGAGAGCTGGATCTCTGTGAAGTTATATGGGCCACCTGTACAAGATGTAACTGAAGAGAATGAATTTAGTGGAGGATGCTGCACTTGGATGATATAGTGATTTACTTGAACCAAATTAACTGAAGCTGGCAAGATTTCTGAGCTGCCTTGATGGATAGCCTGAGTGGAAGTAGATGGAGTGTGTTTTGCTGAACCTCATACTTCCCCAGATGCTACATAAGTAGGAGAATTGGATGGCCTCTGGGCCACACTGCATTCCCTTCAAATTTCTGTGGAGAAACAAATGATAAGAGGGAAAGAGGGGTGGGGCAAGAGAAATCCAGAAAATAAAGGATAAAGTTCTTAGACTGTCTTCACACTGTAAGAATGACTTTTTGAAAAGCTTGGAGTAGGTCTGGCAATGGATATAAGCACAGGACTCTTGAAGTACATTCTTGGCTCTTACTACCACTTCTGACTTTGTGCAAATCAGCTGACTTTTCTGCCTGTAAAATAATATTTCCTTTGACATTAATATTTACCTCATAAGGTTATTTATAGGATAGTGTTGTGTTTATATCATTTCTTTCAGAGAGCTCAAAATACTTTTCATACATTGATAGTGAAGCTTCTTCTGAGGAGTAAATATGAAAATTCATGTTTTAGAAATGAAGTTAGGTCATAACAGCCTGAATTTAATGTATTGCAGGAGAAAATGTGTTGTATATAGTGATCCAGTGGGTCAAATGAATTTTTCTTCCACCATAATTCCCATCTTTCTTTCTTTCTTTTTTTTGCGAATTGAGGAAATATGGTGAGTCCATACACCTGGATGGGAGATCCCACATGTGCAATCAGATTGGTCCCTTGTGACACATCCAGAGTTCAGAGAATAGTCAGGGCATCTTTTGATTACAATTTCTAGGATTGTAGCAGTACCTGAAAGACACCTGGGAAACCTCAGCTCTGAAATACCAAACCATACTAAAGGATCCCAGGGATAGAAGATTAATAGATGTAATATGGGGGGGTCTTTTCATTGAAAACTTGAGCAGAACTTGAGAGAATCACAAAAGCACCACAGTATTTTAGGTCTTCTAAAGGAAAAATAGAGCATCTGCTCAGCCAATCCTGTTGTTTATTACCTGCCTACCAAGCAGTATGCTGTTCATTGAAGTATAATCTCTGCCCTAGAGATCTGAACAGCAATATAACCAAAATGATAGTTGCAGCACATGCACTTATCAAGGGCACCTGGTATGCTTGCTAATTTATGGAAGGTTTTGTGTAGGTTGAGAATTCTCCTAAAGTCTTACAAATTGAAATGAGATCAAGTATTTTTTAATCCCAGCTACTCGGAAGATAGCGATCAGGAGGATTGTTTTTTGAGGCCAGTCCAGGCAAAAAGTTAGTGAGATCCCCATCTCAAAGAAAAAAAAACAAAAAACAGAAAACAAAACTGGGCATGGTGGTGTGCATCCTGTAATCCCAGCTTTGCTGGAGGGCAGAGGTAGTATGATAGTGGTCCAAGGCTCGCCCCAAGCAAAAACACAAGACTTTGTCTGAAAAATAGCTAAAGCAACAAGGGCTAGGGACATGACTCAGGTGGTAGAGCACCTGCTTGGCAAGAATGAGCCCCTGAGTTCAAAGCCACGGTGCTGCCCCCTTAAAAAATGAAATGAATTTGGGTAGGGAGTTCCAGGCTGGGAGATTGGTATGTTCATAGGCCTCCAATGTTAAGACTTCTCTGAAGAGTATATGACAAACTACAGAAAGGTTCATTTTATCATAGCCTACCAGGTAAGTGGGGTTATTAGTGAGAAATAAGACTCAAGGGCCTGTCTTGCTGTCTTTGTTTCCTGCTGAGGAATGCTATGAAGTAGATCATTTTGGAGAAAAATTAGTGGAATGAAGGGTGTGTTGAGTTTAAATACTTGTAAGCTATCCAGATAAATAATGTGACAGGGAATGAGAGAAAATCTAGGCTGAAATAGAGGTTTAGAAGTCACCCCATGTTAGTAGTGCTTAAAAACAATGGTAAATGAAATTGTGCAAGGAAACTGTGGAATGAGCAAAACATCAAGGGCACGAACTCCTCCTGTATGTGTAACAAACACATAAATGTTATAAGGGAAATGAATGTGGTTCCCTCAGAAGTCTTGAGGTCTCATCTCGCATGCTTAGTGCTTCCCCAGCTGTGTGCATTTGTGTTCTCCTTCACTCCCAAACTTCTTCCACTTGATCGCAGAATTCTTTTTCTCCCTGGTTGTGCAGCTAAAACTAGCATGTCCCTGATTTCCTTGGAGGAGCTTACTGGTAAGCAAATAGAGAAACTAATTCTAAATATCTCACATAGTCATAAGACATACAAAAAGCAAGGAATACCATTCATTCAGTATGTGATAAAACATTCTATGTATGGGATGTTAATTGGATGGGGAGAGAAGTAGGGGAAGAGAGAGTGATGGAGGTAAAGTCAGAAGCCGGGGTACATCCTGAAGGACTTTTTTACCATTTTAACGACCTGAACATTATCTTCTCTATTATAGCCAGCCATTGAAGGATTTCAAGAGCAAGATGACATGAGCAGATTATAGGCAAATGCTGGGGAAAAGACCAGAGACAGGAAGATGAGTTGGGAAGCTCTTGCTGTTGTCCAAGTGAAGGAATAGGACTCAGCAATGCTTCTGGCTATGTGCCTGAAGAGCAAGGGATGTATCCACAAGACATTTAACCAGTGTTAGGTTTTGTGTCTAAGAGTATGGGGTGTGGAACTAAGATTGCCACATAAAGAAAGAAGTCAGATTAGAGAGATGAGACATCTTCTATTGTGTATGTTGAGTTTGTAGAATTGCACAGAAATACAGGTTATGGACAGATGAAAATATGTCAATGTCTGCATCCTTTAACTTCTCTGAGCCTTGCTTCCAAAATTGCCACTTCCCCCATTGGTGGAAATTGCTGTAAAATCACACTACCCCTCATCTAAGTTGGTACCAAAGTGTAATCACATTGGGGCCTCTAAATTAGGGTATCCTAAAAAGCTACTTATACTCTTTTGGTGGACTTTGTACAGGTAGAATTACATAGATCTAATTCTTACCTCAGTATATTTATTCTTGATGGAAAATATGAATTAGTAATATAACTAGTATATCGATAAGGAATATATTCACCAAATGTATAAAATGGTTAAATATTGATAGTAAAGTCTGACTAAGTAGTAAGTGAATCGGGGGAATACTCTTGAGAGGAATCTGGTTATGATAGGAACAGTATAGTCATATTGCAGAGACATAAGAAGTATGGACCAATATGCAAAAGGTAGGAGAAGATGTCATTCAAACAAGTCTTTTCAGGGGCTTAATAAATTTGATAGGGGAATTGGAAGACAACTAGTTGTTGCTTTCTCTTAAGTTGAAATAAACTTGACCCTATGGAATACCCTAGTTTTGTTCACTTGCAGAATTGACTTCAAGTTTAGGGATTTGAATGTGGAAAGTTAATGCCATGATAGGTTACCTGACTGCAAATTCATCAAAGAAGACTGATGATATCATAAACCATGAGAAGTCAGTATCCTTCACCAGCATCAGAAACCTCTCATTCTGAGTAAACACTGGTAATCCGTTTTATTCCTCTCCATTAGTTATTACAGTAATAACAGATTGGCAACCCAGACTCATTTTCTACCTCTAGTGCTGTCTACTGCTAGGCACAGCTGCTCCCGATCATCCTTTCCAGTGTAAATAATGGTTCGTGTTTCCATGGGCTGTTGTAATGTCTTTCTGTACTTGTGAAGTGAGTCCATGTCACCACCCTGTTGGGAGAGATTGAAGGTATGGGTGAAGCCAAGGAACTGTGCAAGAAAGTCAGAGAGTCTCCTCTTGCTACGATATGTTGTTTTGCTCTTTAAGGACATTTAGATTGACTGGGTGTTAATGCTATGAACGTCCATGAGTGTGGAATGAGAAAAAGATATCATTTACATCTGTCTATTGCAGATCTTTTACTTTGGAGCTTTTTCTTTCATGTTAGATGTAAATAATGAACTCCTTTGTTGTGAGAGGGTATGTTACAAGGCAATAAACACTTCAGCAAAGAGCATCTTTTGATCTTCACGCCTTTGGCAATAAAATCTGAGGGCAGAAATAGGCCAGAGAATTTGGAGCAGAAATAACTGAAAGCTTCCCTTTTATCTGTTCACAAAATTAGGTACAGAACTATAGGAGTAATGAATGGAATGATAATCATAAGAAAAATGAAGGACAAAATAAAGCCACCTGAATAATGGAAGGTTTTATTCTCTTTCTTCCTGTGATCCCTTAAGGAATTAGTAAGTGTTTAAAAAACTTAAATGCTAGTTTGAGAATGTATTTTTAATAATAGGTCAGCAGGTAACACTTATGTGTGTCTGTGCCTGTACATGTACACGCAAACACAATCTTTTTAAACTGGTCTGTTTTTTTAATACCTTCATTCTGTGAATCCTATCTCAATATGATTGCTAATTCAGTCACCTTCTAAATATAAAACCATATATTCATATAAAATAGAAATCTCAAATATATAGTTTTGAATTCCTATGAAAATTATTTTCATTTCTTACCTCTCTTGAAAGTTTTAGTTGTATTGTGAAGACATCTAATGCCTATTTTATTACGGGAAACTTATTAGGATGCCCCTTCAGACTGTACACAATTCATACTTACATCCAGAAAGTAACAGATTGGGGCAGGGGGAGACGTGACACCTCCTAATAGTAATGTTAAGCACTTTTTCACACTCAATGAAAGATAAATGCATTTGTATTTACATCTCTATATAGGTGTACTTCTTTTCCCAATTTGGATAGCAATAATGAAGGCAGAGATTGCAATCCTGGCATCATCTCAAATGTTAACTACCTATTTTCCTGGTCCTGGTATTGGGGCGGGTATGGACGATTGCTCTAAATTTTAGCTTTTCTTGATAGATAATATATAACTAATATTTCAAACATCTAGCATAGTTTTCCATTTTATTTTACTCTACTGCTTCTTCCTAATAGAGGAGCTGACTGACTTACTCTGTGATAAAAGGAAATCTGACTATGTTCCAAGTATTCCTTGCAAGTCTTAGACCAAGAGGTTTCTCTCAGTATTTTTCAGAGACAGATTGAGAACAGTCCATTTTAGTAGCCTTTAATTTGAAAGTTAAACTAAATCCTTCTAATTGCTTGTAAGTATTGAACAATATGAATATTTCTATTGGATAATATGGAATGCACAGTTTGTCATTGAAGAACTTGCCATTTTTATCTTAGCTGAGTTTAGTGCCAGTATATACCATTTGTGCTTTCAAGCACAGGTTGATTTATTGTAGTTTGGAAGAACAGGATATTTCTTTTGTAATTTTAGTAGAGCCCATTTTTTACCTTGTTGACTTTGAGGCTATTGTTACCAAGTCAACAAGTTAAAAAGAAAGAATAAAAATCCAGATTTGTAGGGGAAAGCCTATCATTTTATGACATGTAATTAAAGTTCATTCAGTTTTATTTAACTAAACATAATAGTTTAGCTCTCAGTAGGCAAAGTGACATAATAATGAATGGGTGAAGTGAGCTTCAAGGAGATAGTGAACATTTCAACATTCTCTGGCCTACCCTTGGCATAGGCTCTATTGTCTGCCATAGCAGGATGGATTCTTCTCTACCATTTACTAACTCTGTAAACATGGGCATGTCATTTGGCCTTTTAGAATTTGCAAAAGTAGGAAATAGTATCATATAAACAGGTCTGTTAAGACAAGTTCATGAGATAAGAACAATAATAATTGTAATCAATAATATTTTGTGTTTGCTAATGTTCGAATGACTATGCTGAATATCTTAACTGATCTACAATAAGTTCAGTGAAGTACTTTCATGTGGCAGGTATTAAATTCTACCTGCTTCTGCTCTTCTCTACCCCAGTCTGCCAGATTCCTCAAGTGAATGGAATTTCTCTATTCAATAAATCCATAATCAATTCCTCTGGCTTTAAGAACTAGTCTAAGTGCTGGAGATATGGCAGTGACCAAGAGAGACAAAGTCCCAATTGTCATACATTCTAGACAATAGACAGAAAAAAAACGGGTTATTTATCTGTCATGTGGTAATAAGTCCTATGAAGATGACACTAGGGGAACAATAAATAGGAAGTACCCATAGTCTTGGGAAACATGGAGAGAAAGGATTCTATTTTAGACATAGTAGCCTAGGAAAGGGTCTTGAGTAGATATTCATGCCATGGTCATTCCAAAAAATGACTTTCTTGTTCAAATGTGGAAGTCAAAAATGTAATGAATTGTAAAAGAAAGCTTAAAAGAATCAATAGCATCTATTTCTGCATGTATTTTCTTTGGGCTAGTAAGCAAACAGTAATAGTGTATCTTTTAATAGGTATTAAGCACTTAGAAAGTAGAGCATAGTAAGGCTACATCAATGTGTGTTGATATTAATCTATTTGAAGAGAGCAAAAGTATACTTTGGCCTAGGTACACTACTCTTTCCTGCTTATAACTATGCAGTCATACAGAAACCCTTCGTACAAAGATAGAATTGAATGGCAGTGTCTGTTTTTGTTGATGTTTAAGGTAAATCATTAAACTGTATCCAAAACAAATATATAGACCTAGTGAATTTAGGAACGGTAACCCCACAAGAGACCTGCAGCCAAACTGCTCATAAAACCTATGCTGACCTGAACTGTAACTAGCAGTCTAATCTAGTGGTTTTCCTTTTAGCTCTTTAAAGATTTCACTTTATTGTCTTCTTGATTAGATGATTTGCAACAAGACCTTTGCTATTTAATTCTTAACTTTATTCTCTGTGTCTTTTTACTTGACTACCTTCAAGATTTCCTCATTATTTTTAGTTTCTTTAATTAAAATATGATATGATTTTGCTGTTATTAATCCCACTGTGGGTTTCTTGGGTCTGTGATTTAATGTCTATTTTTTAGAAAGCATTTCTGCCCTCAGTCTTTCTCATGAGCACTTGAAGTAGGTCCATGAAGAAAATCTGTTCAGCTTGAACTCCCTTTGTGATTGCAGTTCTCAGGAGTTCTGTACTCATTCTAACCTACAATCATCCTTTGGAAACTCCTTGAATTTCTACAAGAATCCTTTTAAACTGCTAGTAGCACCTGGTGTCTTTCTTTATGCTCTGCCACAGGAAAGTGGGTCTTCAGGTACCATATTTTCTTAGAAGGACCTTGGATTTTAGACAATTTGTTCTCATAACTCAGGGCTTAAGAAAAGTTACATTTTTACATTGTCTTTAGTAGCTTCTTTTTAGGGTGTGACTCTTTCCACCTTTCTATATGCTAAGTGGAATCAGGATTCTATACTGGTGATTTTGAGTCATTCTACAGATATGCTTTAGAAGTTCCACAAAGCTGTGATTCAAATTTTATTTTATAGATGTTTTATTGCTTAAAGATTGCAATAAAAACATGTCACACAAATTGTCTTGTGTACCAAAGTAATCACTTTGGAGACTAGCAAGTAAAATAATTATGCTGCTTTCTTAATTTGCCTTTTTCAGACCATATGAGGTCTTTGCTACAATTTGACATACTCTTTGAAGTTCTGGTACCATGGCAGTGATTATGAAGGGTGTGATTCTGCTTTTAGCCGTGTCAGTGCCACACAAGTAAAACTGCAGAAGCTGAGGCCACTACTGCAACATGTAGTCAATTAAGCAAAAGTCAATTAACTGACAGTAGTGTCAAGGACACCTGCCTATACTGCACATGAATTGGTTCTGCAGTAACACATGGGTGGCTGGCAGGTTGTATCTTGACTAATATTTGCCCACCTTGTTCTTTTCCTGATTTCCACTTAATACAAGAAATGTAAGTAGGTTTTTTTTAAAAAAAATTGTAACAATCCTACTTTGAGGCAAAAAATTTACTGGCATTTTAAGCCTTTGGATTAATTTCCTTAAGTCTTCAAAATGCTTTGATAACTCATTATATATATTACTAGGATTTGAAGTCGGGGCCTCATACTTGCTAGACAGTTGCTCTACTACTTGAGACACTCCACTAGCCTTGTTTTGTGTTGGGTCTTTTCTAGACGGGGTCTTACGAAGTATTTGCCCAGGCTGGCTTCAAACTGCAATCCTCCTGATCTCTGCTAGGATTACACTGATGCCCAACAAAATTTCTTGATGCTAAGCTGGGTGTCCCTGCATCATGCCTGAAATCCTAACTTCTTGGGAGGCTGAGATCAGGAGGATCAGGTTTAAGGCCAGCCCAGGCAAATAGTTTTTGCGATCTCATCTCCCTATACTTCTATTTTTGCTTCATTGTTGTACATTGTATTAATTTCCCTGTGGACACAGTGAGACTTAATAAATCAAATATTTTAGTAGTGCTATCAGTGTCAGACAGTAAAGGCAAGGCACTTATGGTGTGATTACTGATAGCAGCTCGGTTTGGCTGCCCTATTTTCTTTTCTGAGTGAATTGAAGGTACAGTATGTATCAACAGAATCTTATTCGTTCCACTACCTTTGCTTATGACTTGGGGACATTTTCATTTATTCTTCACTGAACACGGATTATGTGTCAGAGACACTTGACTAGCAAGTGCTAGAGATTGACTTGTAGATGTTCCTTATCCAGTTCGCAGTCCCTGGAGATAATGTGGAGGTATTTATGTATGCTTATCTGTGCTGTGGAAAAAAGTCCTTAAGTTAAAATATTTTAATTTCAATGGTTATAGTTTTGGGGTTGATTTTTGATGGGGTGTAGGGAGACAACTGGGTTTTTGAACTCAGGGCCTTGAGTTTGTTAAGCAAGAACTCTACCACTTCAGTCACATCCCTAGTCCTATGGTTATGTTTGTTTGGTTTTTTTAAAATAACTATGTTTTTAGAATGAAGAAATTAAGCAAAGTGCTTTAAACAACAACAACAAAAAGTAAAGCAACATTTCAGAAAAGCCCAGTCTTGAATATCATATTAAATCAAACTCAGGATGGCTGGAAGTTGAAAGCGCTTTAAAATTGTGCACTTTTATAATATGCTATCATAGTTGGTTTTCTGTTGTTATAATAGAATACCTGAAACTGGATAATCTAAAAAGGTTTATTTTGGCTAAACATTCTACAAGTCCAAGGGCATGTTTCTTCTGGTAAAGGCCCCATACTACCTCATATCATGGTGGAGAAGCATGAAGGGGAAATGGGTACCTGCAAAAGGGTCAGGAAATGGGTACCTGCAAAAGGGTCACATGCAGTAGAGTCCCAGGGGAAGTCCCAGGCTTGCTTTATAACAACCAGTCTTGATATAACTTACCTTCTCTTGAGGAAACTATATTGATTTCTTCATGACAGTGAATTCCCTCATGATCCTAATGCCTCTTAAAGCCCTCATCTCTCAGTATGGTACATTGGGAATCAAATCTCAACATGGGTTTTGGTGTGGACAAATCATACCTAAACCATAGCATGTGTCTCTTGATTTTATTTTTGCTAAATATGGTAAAATGGAAAAGCCACACTGTTTCTTGTACTGTCATCTTTAGTTTCACACGTCTTCATTTGGACAGTCAACTGATAGTCATAAAACATCATGGAGAGTAAAAAATTGGACATTTCTAGAAAGCTGTATTTTGTGTAAAATATTTGAACTTTTTGCATCTTACAGATACTGAACTTATAATCTTGAAGTTCATTAAGATTAGATGATAATATTAAACATAAACATATACTTAGAGAAATCATGTTTCTTTCAAAGACTGACCCTCATTATTTAGTATATATGCAGCAAACATTTAAGAAGTTTTCCACATATATTTAAGAAGCTTTCCATTCGTAATTTGCCAATTTCTTTTCCAAGGGAAGTTTTTGCAAAAATTTTTCCCTCTAAATAATGACAGATTTTTAGGTGTAACCTATCTACATTGTGTAACCATGTTAAATGAATGAAAAAATTAAGTATTTTTATGATAGCATGATTTGTTACTATAGAGCAATTCAGAAATACTAGTACTAAATACTAAGACCTGAGTCAGTTTTAGATATGGTCAGCTAATAGGATCTATTATTTTTGGTGGGATTCTCTTAATAACTTAATTTTCTCATTAAGTATCTGGCTTGGAAGCAATAATGAAGGTGATTCTGATGTGTTTGTAGGGAAGTACAACAAGTGAAGTAACTGTTATGACATAATTTGAGGGAAGCCAGAGACTAGCCCTGCAGAATTAAGATTAAATGTTTAACACAGGCTCCATACCTTAGATAATTAAATGTTGGAGCTTGCTGCTGTTTCTTGCCTTCTGGATAGAACAGCATGGACACTGGTATAGTGGGATGAAGCAGTCTAGCATAAATTGTTCACAGTTCCATAGTAAGTGGCATAGACCTTATAGGAACAGGTAAACAGCACCACGTGGAAAGAAAGTCTGTGTCACAACAGAGCTGAGGCATCATCACAGGGGCAAAAACCACTAAAGAGATTTAGATAAGGAAATGTCATCAATGACTTGGATTTAGAAAGTGTCTACCAATTGAGTGCAGGATGGAGAGATCTGAGATAGGGAAACAAATTAAGGGTGCTTCGGTGGTTCAACGAGCTGTGATGAGAGCTTGTGGGCAGTAGTAGTAAAGTCAGAGTTGGATAGACTGGTGTTAAGAAAGATAGTAAATATACCTAAGTTATTTGTTTTCTTGGGATTTTACCTCTTAAAGTTCTTTGATGACTTCCCGAAGTAAATTCCAAACAAAAGGTAGTTGATTTTACAGCATAGAGAACCTGAAATGTATAGCACAGATATTATATTCTCAACAAAGCTTATTTTAGTTGATAATTTTAACAAGAAAAAGAAACAGTGGAATCTCTTCAGTGGAGTATGTCATTGCTGATATCAGGACTGTTGGGTAGTTCCTTCATAGACTGTTTAACTTACTTTGTTTTATGGTCAGTTATTTACAAATATGGATGAAATTAGAGGGCTCTGTTATCATTACTGGAGAGCCAATTCAAAGAATATAATATACATAGACATTAACCTAAAAGGAAAAAAAAAAACTGCAAGGAAAATAGAAACAGGCCAAAATTTTCATGTACAAATTATTATGCCAGCTGGTCCTCCTTAAGATTAATGATGCTATTTTGAGGTTTCTCATAATTCTACCTAAAGTCACTTTATATAAAACAAGAATTGGACATTTCAGAAGAAAACATTTTAAGTCTTACATCTTGAAAATATTATAAATGCTTAATAATAGTAAAATTCTTAGAATTTATGAACTAAAAAATAGTATATAAAAAATGTCATCTTTGGTAATGCCTCATGGAAACAAAATTTAAAAGTCTCAAATTCAATGTTTACCAAGAAACCATTTAAGATTTTTAAAAATGAGAAAGACTATCTAAAATTCTGTTATGTTTTCTGTTTACGGCTATCTTTTGAACAACATTTAAAAGGCAAAAAGCTTATCAGGATATATGGCTTAGGTTATTTATCATAGTGAAAAGATTCTATCAATGCTATGTCATGGCTACTTTTCTAATTGGGGTAATTTCTCTGTGGGAACTAAAATTTAAGAGTGATGAACCAGCATTGGAGTCTCATTGTTCATAAGTGGAACTGGTTTATTTTTCTTTTCCCAGTTTTTTTCCCCTTAAGTCTTAGTCTCATGAGAAGCAAGATAAAATCCTTTCTTTGTGAGAATTCCACTTGAAAGTGGTATGTTTTTAAACATACCACCTCTTAACATCACCTCTGTGTAGCATTACAAAAATCATTAATTGAAACATTTTCAGATTTTTATTCTTGCAGCCAACATTTATGGAGCAATGATGATATTCACAACACTGCTCTAGAGTTATAGGGGTATAAAGAGGGATGGGACATGGTTTCTTCTCTTTCTGAAAGGGAATAGTTTAGCTGGAAGATAAGTTGGGTATACAAATAGCAATTATATGATGTTGAATTTGTCTAGTGTCCTACAAAAGAAGATGCAAAGTGCAGTGAATTGTTGAGGAAATTAGAAGTATTTTTTTGAGGGAGAAAATGTATACTTGTGGCTTAAAGGATAGGTAAAAATTGTTAAAACAGCATTGGGGGAAAGGAATTCTGAGCAAAGTTTACTTTGAATTTGGATAATATAGGATATGTCCTTAGAAGCGACAAGAAACCTAATTCAGTTGAAGCAGTAGTGCAGTAAGGGTAATAAAGTGAGACCTCAGCACTGTCTTTGGAAGTGTTTGGGGTTTATTGAACAATCAAAGCAAGTATAGCTAAATGATTAAGACTTTGGGAACTGGTGCCAAATTGCCTAGGTTTGCGACCTGTGTGTAATAAATCTTAGCTATATGACTTTGGACAAACTACTTAAACTGTTTGTCTCAGTTTGCTTATCCATAATCTCTGAAGTCTTGCATTAGGTGTTGAAATTCAGAATTTTTCAGTTTTTGGAAATATAATATTGTATAGTACATTAAGGTCTAAGAGAATGCTTTATCAAGTGCATTTATATTTCTACAACAAACCGTCTAGGAATATATGGTAAATTGAATAAAAATAATGCATATCCTTATATGCAGTCAATTTGAATATTGTACAAATGAGTTTATAGCACACTTATGAAAAATTGTTTTCACTACTTTTTAAGAGTTTTGAATTGTGGATTATGGGCCTACAATGGATCCACTACGGTAGTACCATTCTTGTGAGATTTTCATGACAATCATTACAATATGTTTTTAGGGCTTACATTCTGATGGCACTTGATGAGTGTTAATTTTTACTCTTTCTATATTATTAGTAGTTCCAAGTGTCACTTGTGTAAAAAGAGCCAGAGAGAGTGAGCTACATGTCCAAAGTATCCTACTGTGCAGTAGTAGAACAGCCTAGGAACTTCCCAGGCCAATCTTTCTTCCCTTTTATGATGTTGGGTTTGAGTTGGGCAGTTGAAATTCTTCAGTACTGGCTCAGTACCATATTTACTGGACATTTGGGGTCCATGCAACCAAATGAAGCATAATGGGTATGTAAATTTTGGTAGAATAGTAAGAATGAAAAAGAATGGGCTTGCTGGTGAGACTTGGGGTGAGGGAAAAGGCAAAGATATCCCAGGTTTGGGGAACAAATAACTTTCATGTTTGTGTGGAGTTATATACTCCCCATGCTGTCAGAACATTGTCCAGTGCAAGTGTTTCTGCTCCTCATAAACACACTGTGCTGAAGGATGGTGCCTGTGAGTCTTTGACCCTGAACTCTGGTTCTTTCACACCTTCATGCATTAATCATGCAACTTACCCTGCCTCAATCCTCAGTTTGCCCTGGCCTTCTGGCAAACTTTGCCTGATCCTCAGGACCAAGCTCAAATATCACATCATCAATGAAGCCTTCCTGAAATGATTTATAAAACCCCTAGTCCCTCAGTCTTCTGCTCCACCCTTACCTGTCACAACTTTCAGCTTCTACTCTTCTGGTTCCTTCTGTGTTTCCCTAGCCATTCTCATGTACATTCCCAGCACCCATAATGATACGTAACTGCCATTGAGTACAGAGTTCATGGATTTATAAATCCCCATTTTACAAATGGAAAATTCAGAGAGTTTCAATACCTTGTCCAACATTGTGTGGTGTAATTAGAATTGGAGTTTAAACAGGTTTTCCTTTTTCCAAATTGCATGTCTCTTTTCTTATCTATAGCCAAAAGGAAAGAAATGTGTATGTGTATTCCACCTGTTCAGGTGTGAATACTAGTAAAGGTACATGTGAGGATTTTACAAAGACCAACATAACAATTTTGTATTTTACTTTTCTGGCACAGTATACTTTTTTAGTCATTGATACATAAACATAAATTGAAGTTTATACTTTTGTGATGACTATTAAGTACTCTTATGGTTTCTGTCATTCTAATGTGATCATGAGTTTAAGAAGCTAAAACAATTTAGAGAAATGGTATACATTTTGATATACATACTTTAGTATATTTTTAATATATGGAAGTACATATGTTTTCATCTCTTAATATATAGTATCTTTTTTATGCCTGTCAAGCTTGATTATTTCTCATTCAACAATTTAATAGGGCTGTATATTTATGAGTGAAGTATAAAATTTCATTCAGCTAATTAAAAAATCTATTTTAAAAGTTTTTAAAAGTCATAAGTGTTTAATCATGGAAATAACCAAACCACCATTACTTTGCAAGACTCTGTTAATGCCATATGTAGAATTTCATAGAGTGAGACTCATTTTTTTTAAATGTGCTTATAAAGTTTGATGACAATTGAACAGACCAACTCTACGAAATGGTAATTTATGTAGCAATAAAAAATAAATAAATCCATGTAATGTGGGCTTGCAGCTGGAGACAGCTGTATTATGCGTGGTTTTTAGTCTGTTACATCAAAGTGATCATACAGTGCTATGTAAGAATGTGCATGTGGACATCTTTAAAGTACCCATGTATTTGCTATGCTTTTGAACCTACTCTATGAGTATGAGAGAAGTCATTGTTCTGTTTTCATTAACAATAGTAAATAAAATCATGGATATATTAAAAATGCCTTTTCCAAATGTGAAAGCATTTTTATAGCCATTATTTCCCTAGCCTTCACTATAGTTTGCAAAAGTTTCTCAGAGACAGTGTTCTCTAAACTTCTGGAAATTATGC